ATCACCGGAGAAACCGGAAAACATCCAACAAACGGTGACCAAAACCGGCGCGGCATTTTCGATTCTGTTTGATGAAGGCTTGAAGATCATGAAAGCTTACGATGTGGCGTTCGCGGTCGATAGTGCCACGATCAAAAGCTATAAAAAATATGGGCTTGATTTCACGAAAATAAACGGAGAGACGAATAGCACCAACCTGCCTGTGCCCGCAGTATACATCATTGGTAAGAATGGTGAGATCAAATACAGGCACTTTGACGAAAACTATACAAGGCGTGCTTCGGTAGCTACGCTTCTTGAACACTTATAGCTTCGACTTCCTGTTCATTGCCAGCGAAACGATGGCGTCAACCACTTTTTTCAGTGAATCATAAGTGGCTGTGTCATTGATTTCGCCTTTTTCATTCAGCCTGGCACGGATAAAAGATATCAGCAACGCTGCGTCAGCAGGCACGTTAGCAGAAATAGCTGTTAACGTGTCGAGCAGTGCCGCATGCGCCCGGTTGCCCATACTTGATGCAGTGACCAGTGCGACCGGTTTGTCAACAAATGAACCAGTTCCTACCGTCCAGTCAAGCGCATTTTTTAGACTACCGGGTACTCCAAAAGCATACTCCGGTGTACAGATGAACACTGCATCGGCTTCTGTTACCAAACGCTGAAAATTCGCGACTGGATCCGGCACCTCAGGCGAGTCATTAAAGTGGGGCAGCTCACCTAAACCTTTATAAATGCTGAAATCGACATATGCTGGCATCATACCCGCGACAATTTTCAAAACAATACTGTTCGATGAAGTATCCCTCAGGCTACCAGATACTCCTACTATTTTTATGCGCATTGTAGAATAGAATTGAGATGGCGAAGATACTTCTCTACTTGGTCTTGTAGCTGACAGGCAATTGACTGATTGTACACTTTATTTGCAGCGCAACTACATATTAAATGAAACCAATACAGATCACATGCCCTTTATGTGGCGATAAAGTGGATAAACTGCTATATCGCTACCACCTCGATGGTGAAAGGCGTGTGATTGATGTGATCAGGGAACGACATCCATCATGGACAGAAAAAGATGGATGGTGCAGCAGGTGTATGGATTTTTACCAGGTTGAAATCGTCATGCAGCAAAAGATCATGCCTGGTATTGGCCCCTATTTCCCGGTCAGATCAGCTGATGACTACATCATTCTGCCAACAGGACTTAGGCTTGATGCAGATCAGCGCTATACCGGCAAGGGCGTTACTATCTGCCTTATTGATAGCGGATTCTATCCACACCCCGATCTCACCAGGGTAAGCAACAGGATCAAAGCGCATGTTGACATCACGACTGGGGAATATATTGACGTCGATCACACTTCAAATGCGGGCAATGACGCCTGGCATGGTATGATGACCAGCGTGGTTTGCGCAGGGGATGGCTACCTGAGCCAGGGCCTGTATAAAAGTCTCGCACCCGATGCAAATATTGTGTTACTAAAAGTACAGGACAGTGAAAGTAACATCACCGCGGATAATATTGCAAAAGCACTTGAATGGATTCTCTATAATCATCGAACATACCAGATTCGAATTGTGAATATAAGCCTGGGAACCGGTGGTCAGCCTTTGGAGGCTGTGAAGAAAATTGAAACACTCACCGCGCTACTGACAGCCGAAGGGATTATC